GGTGTGCCTCTCCAAGTCCTCCCAAATTCTCTTTTGTCTTTAGTATGACTTGGGCTCCTGTTACTAAAAATGAGCATATTTTTCTACTGATAGTAATCTTTACTAATAGTTATTCTATCCCCACTGTGGATTTGAGCAAATGAACAGGCTCAAAGAAACAACTTCCACCAGCGTCAGCTGCAGGACAGGGCTGGATGCAAACGATGTCAGTGTCCCACAGCTTAATTCCAGCTGTAAAGATACTCAAGAAAAGGATTTTTTCACTAAGCCTAGATAAGATATTTCTGAATTTTTTAAAGGATTTTTTTCTTATTTTATAATGATAAAGCAGGAAAAATATTTTTCTTAGTAGCTAGCATTCATGACATTAGCCCTCCAGGAGTTAGGTAAAAATATCATTTGTTGAGGTTTTGATCTTTGTCGATGGTATGCTCTATACCATTCATACACTTTTGGGTGAACTTCAAATACCAATGAATTATGTTTCTTATTAATCAGACACTTTATTATTCTTCTTTTTCATTTTCAAGATATATGCTTTTGCCTGTGGGCTTAAACAAATCCGCTAAAGAGTCATTCACTGATGTTTCTATATTAAACAACAGTTTCCATCTGATGCTTTTACGTATAGAAACTGCTCCAGAGCCACAAATTTATCATTTCTAAGTGGAATCACTCACCAGTTGTGTAACTCAGCAAAGGCAGCTTTGATCTTCTTCACAGAGCTGTCCACTTCTTCCTTGATCATGACGCGGTATCTCGTTAGAGATACAGTGCAGCGTTGCAAATCCTTCACCGATTTCTCAATATTTGGGCCTAAAATTAATGTCAAGGGGAAACAAAGTTAAATTGAACACTTCATCTTTTTATTTGTGAGCTAAACTACAACAGGAATAAAAACAACTAATTTACTCCATGCCCACAAAGACAGGGAGATTTGTCTTTCGTTTCTCAATTAAAAGAGAAAAATTCTGTCAAGATGATATTTATAACGCAATTTCAAAAATTAAGGGAGGGTAGTTGGGATAGTTCCCTAGGTGGCTCTGATTTCATTAGTGGGTTCCCTGGTTGGGCCATTGAGAGCGTATGTAGTTTCTGCTGCTCTTTGAAAAGCAGCTCATTATGTTCTAGCACAAACTGTAGTTTCTTAGACTCTGATATAGCCAAAGACCATTTGTGCTGCTGGTTCTCTCTATAAACACCCCTCTCCATAGTTAAAAGCCAACAGGGGTTTTGGAAGAGGAAAACATTGAAACTGGGAGAGGTACAAATGAGCTGGATGTGGAAGTAGCTCTGGTGCCAGGCATACTGGCTTTGGCCCCATCAGTCCAGAGCCAGGCCTATAATTATAGCAGCAGCACTTAGAGCCACTCGATGGCACCAATCTTGCCTGCTTTCCAGAAACCTTGACCAGAGTTTACAGACAGTGCACAACAACTAGGGAAACTGTACTTATCCCAACAAGGGCACGTTTCATAGAAGAAAAGAAATCTCCCTTAAAAAAAATGTATATCAAGCCCAGCACAAGGAAATTGGATACAATTGAGGGTAAATAAGAAGAATATTATTTAATCTGGGAATCAGAAAGGAAGTGATTTAGTACTTTTCATTTTTTTAAATGCTAGTTATGTGTGAAGTGTGTCCAAGCTCAAAAAACAATAAATTTAGTATGTAAAACATAAAATCCACAACCAGCATTCTACTGTCTGAAAGTTCCAACACAGGAACTAAATCCACATGAGGAAGATCATACCTGAAGAGGACACACCAGCCCCTGGATTCATTTTCCCTCATTCACCTTTCTAAAGGAGCTCCTGCATAACCTTTGGTATCAGGGTAGAGCTGACTTGTGCAAACATACCCATGTCTACAAAGGAAAGAGTGGCCACAGAGAGGTAGACAGAGGGGATGTAATTTCACTTTAACTTCAAAATTTGGGGTAACACGGGCAGAATTCCATCTGCCTTTCGTATGTGGGAATGAAAAAAAAAGAAATTTCACATGTATCTCTCATCACTAAGCAGCATCTTTTGGATTGTTCTATCATCTGGCACTGCTCAGTGTGCAAAATATGTTGAATCATTTGTGTAAAAGAAATCACTTTACCTCTTTTCTTTGCCAACTCATCTGGCTTTATTTCAAGATGAGCTGCAGGGGCATTGGATTTAACAGGAGATGTTTTTGTCTTAGGCTTGCTGGGGTTACAAGGCTGCTCAGCTGACCACTGTAGGCCATCTGACCTCTCTGGTATTCCATGTAAAGCTTTGGGGTTCCCATCTAAGGACAGTTTCTGTTGCAGTAGTCTGTTGCTTTCTGTAAGAAAACACCAAATCATGACTCTGAAGTGATAAACTAAAAACACTGATGATAAAGGAATGGAGGGTGCCAAGACTTTTGTTTTTGTTTATATGTTGGCAGTAATGTTTGCTTTGTAAATGATCAAGAAACTGCTTTATCTAAATCCTCTTAAGATCAGAGGATCTCCTAGAAAGAGCCTTGTTCTTGGGAGTCATAAAACATGGATCTCTGGGCTCTGGGAATTATTTGCAGATTGACCCTAGCAAATGACTTAATTTCTCTCAGCTTTAGTTCCCTCACCCATCTAGGAAATATTTTAGCAGATTTGCATGAGATGAGCAGAGTTTCTCCACACCTCCTTCTCTGCCTCATTCAGTAAAGGCTTAGGTGTCTATAAGGACAACTTCATATTGAGCTATCAATATGTGGTCTATCTCCAAGCATCACATAAGCGTCTTGTGGTATTTTATCTGGAATTAATGACAGCAGAGGCATGACTGGAGAGAGGGGAAGAATGAAGTGACAACAGGTACTATAGTCATTGCATTTAATTTATGGTGTGATTAAATTAGGAAACATCATCATACTACTTCGACTATATTTAACATCCAGTAAGGCAGATTCTCTCTGGAGCTTCAATAGATGAGGCAATAAATTATCAGCATGTTGCTCTTGGCATCTTTAAAGCTAGGTTCCTATTTAGTTATTGCAGGAGTGAATTAAACGGCACCTTAGTGGCCTCACTAAGGAAATGTATCACAACCAGAGTAAGCTGTAGGTGTGAAAAATAGGGAAGTTCGGGTTCTTGGGTAGTGGGAAGAGGGCAGGTTCAAGCCCTAGGCTCTCATCTTCCCCATGACCTTGTACAAATGACCTCATTTCTCTGGCGTCTATAGCTTTCACTACAGTAGAACACGGTGTCATCTCCATGGAACCAGACACTTTTTCAGAGTCACCCTGCCTCACTTTTTTCTGCTTCAACGGTGACTCATAAAAATTTAGTGTATTATATTTTCACACAAGGCTAGAATATCTGTCCTGCCTTCTGCCATGCCATCACTCCTTGAAGGTAAATACTAAAATTTGATTCAGCTCTGAAGCCTCTTGTACATGTGTCTGGCTCAGTCGCTATCTGTAGAATCATGATTGAATTAAGGTACGATTTAAAAAGATTTCACTGAAACAAAACAAAACAAAGAATATGTTTCCTGACTTATGTCTCAAATGTTTTGGAGACTCTACTTAGACAATGCAAACGAATGTGATCTGGGTCCTAGTCAATTTGATTTTAGACATTAGATCATGGAGGATAAGTATAAATTTGACTTTAGTTGAATCTATCATTGGTAATGCATCAAGAAAGCACAACAGAACGCTTTATGGGCTGTACAAAGAGTGATTAAGGAAATTTTAAAATGAACTTTGAGGGAAATGATGGTACATAATAAAATGTTAAGCAAAGAGAATAGTCAAAGTGAAAAGGCACTGAGAGCAGCATTTCCTTCAGTAATGAAACAGATTCAAGTGGTCGTACGCAATTTATCTTTGTTACACTGAAGTGGAACTTCACTGTAGGGCAGTGGCTGTCAAGCTTTCCTGAGTGTGAACTCTCTCTTGGTATTTATTACAAATGCAAATTCCCAGACACTTCTCTAGGAATCCAGTGGGGCCTAGATTCTTCTATCAAGTGATTTTGCTAGAGTGGAGAGAGATGGCATTACCTACCTTGAGAAACTACTGTAAAAGAGGAAAAACTAATTTTTGATGAATCTATAGATGTTTTGTTAAAACACTGATTAAGTGTGGGCTGGTTCCAACTCATTTTGTCTCTAAATTACAGTTGAGAGGCAGTCTTGCTGAAATATAAATTACGAATATAAAATACAGCTCATTGTGCGTGGTATAGTAAATTGGTTCTATTCTTGAAAATAAAAGATTTACATTTGTAGCTTAATGGAAATAACCTTAGAACAGAGGAAAAAGTTTATTGTGTTGAATGTAAAAAAATTTTAAATGTAAGACAAGCAAGCAAATGAAAATGGGTTCATTAGCCTAGAGCTGAAAATATTTGGTTTGTGTTTTAGAGAACTGGGCTACTACTTCATTAATCATTTAATGAGAAATTTGAGTAGCCATACTTTTTGAGGTCCTAAAAAAAGTTGTCTCATTATTGTCAGGGTCCAAAAAGATCTGAAATTCTCAAAGACCACTTGAATATAGCACACTGGCTATACCGATCTCTCTCCAAATGTAGTAAAACTGGCATTTTCAAATAACAGTTGGTAGTTAGTTAAACAGCTATAGCAGAATAGGGTTTATCTTGACTAGAAACTCTGATAAGTTCTAGCAAGAGAATAATGGGAATTTATTCCTGGAGAGTGTTTTCCTATGATAAGTAACACCAGTTCTCTCTCTTCCTGAAATACACTTAAAAGCTACAAAGTTCTCAAATTTGATCCACAGTACTGTCCAATTATGGCAATCACTAGTCACATAAGGCTGTCAAACTCTCAAAATGTGGCTTATCTGAACTGAGATATTTTGCAACTGTAAAATGAAGAGTGAAATTTGAATATTTATTACAAAATATTTCTTTGAAATTAAAAATACTGATTAAATGTGAAAATGATAATATCTTGGCTGACTGTGTTAGACAAAATAGTTCCTAATTTAACTTGCCTATGTCTTTTTATTTCTTTTCCAATTGTGTGTGTGAGATATAACTCAAGAGTGCCTTTACACATTAGACTTAAAAGACTCATGGCTTTTGTTTTAATATTGCACTTCTTAAACCTAGATATGACATCATTTTTCTATTTCTTTAAATGGGTTACTACAGTGCTTAATTTTATGTACCTAATGTTATATTTACATTGCTTAACACTACTATAAATCAAAAAGCACACCAGATTCGTGGTCCAAAACCTGCAATCACTACTTATTTACCTTGTGGACTAAGAATATTGATTTTAATTAAAACTTGGAACATTTTTTGTAATTTTTACGTGAAAAAAGTGGTGACAGTGATATATGTCTTGTTTATCACTATATACTAGACACCTACTAGATACATAATGAATACTAAGCGGATAAAAAACACTCTTGCAATTATATATCTTTATCTAATATCCATCAAATGCTAGAATCCAAAGTAGTCACATATTGGAAAGTTATCTCTGGGAACATCCAAAAGATGTGTATTTCAATAAAAATGTGTATTTTAACTCGACATTTCCCATCAATCTAAAAAATGGCTCCAAGACCCATGTTTTTAAATTTAGCTAGAATCTGAATTCCCCTAGTATTAAAAATATTCATCAAACCCCAACAGAGATGTTAACTTCCTGAGTTTCTGATTCAATTTGATTCAGGATATGTGTATGGAGCACCCATTATGTGTGTTAGCTCCTCATTTTTTATCGGAGATAAATGAGATAACATTTCTTTGCCCTTAATAACTAGCATTGCTCGAGCATCACGGCAGAGCCTGGCAAGCTCCCCGTGACGTATTCGATATGCCAAACACAGTAACAACAAAGTCTCCAATGGAGACGTTACTGGGCCTGCTCGAGCAAATCGACGAACAACGGGAGAGAAATAACTAGCATGTAAAGTGTGAGAAAGAACTTGAGACTACAGCATAGTAAATCTGAACTGACCTCCCTACTGAATTGCACCTTTGTTGGAAACTAAAAAATGTTAGTTAAATGTGTATTTCTGTGGATCTATTTCTAGACTCTTTCATTTCACGGATCTAGTTATTCTCCAGCTAATACCATACTGTCATGCTTACTTAAATTTTATATCACATATTTTAAGTGTTCAGATATTCATGTTCTCCAATCTTATCCATCTTTTCAAAGACTGTTTGAGCTCTCTTAGGTCATTTGTATATCAACATTAATTTAAAAATCAGCTTGCCTATTTCTAAAAAATATTGACAGTACTTTGATTTGGTATTAAATTGGTTGGTATCTTAGCAAAATTGTTTCTTTTGATCCATGAACCTGCTAGCCTCTCAATTAATCTGGATTTTGTTCTGATTTATAGTACTTTGCATCTTGTGCATCTTTACTTAAAATTTAGTCCTAAAAGTTTTAAAATTTTGATGTTAATATTTAAATGTTCAAAAACTATTTATCAATTGTTTGTTCCTAGAATATAGGAATAAAACATATTTTTTGGATTATTTTGGGGCCGTACTCGAGATCACTCCTGATAAGCTTGTGAGACCATATGAAATGCTGGGGATCAAACCTGGGGCAGATATATGAAAGGTAAGTACCTGACATGACATGCTGTATTATCTCTGTAGGTCAGAAATAAGACAGATTTTAAATCACTGTCACTGTCACTGTCCTCCCATTGTTCATCGATTTTTTCGAGCAGGCCCAGTAACGTCTCCATCGTGAGACTTTGTTGTTACTGTGTTTGGCATATCAAATACATTACAGGTAGCTTGCCAGGCTCTGCCGTGCGGGCGAGATACTCTTGGTAGCTTGCCAGGCTCTCTGAGAGGGGGGGAAGAATCGAACTCGGGTTGGCCATGTTGGCTGCATGCAAGGCAAACGCCTTACCCGCTGTGCTATTGCTCCAGCCCAAGACAGATTTTAAAAATATAATTAACTTGCTCCTATAGATCTTGCACTTTTTATTTCTTATTTGCATTTGTGTGTGTGAGCAGACTTCTTGGTATTTCTACATAACCAAAAATGACATCTGTGAGTGAAGTTTAACTTTTTCTTTTCCAATATTTTGTCAGGTTGGCATCCTAGTGCAATGAATAATGGTTCTTGCATCATTCCCAATCATAGGGAAAATACCTATTGATATTTTGCTGTTACAATATTAAGCTATAGATTTTTTTAAAAATGCCCATATCACACTCAAGAAATTCTCTTCAAATTACTTCCTGAGAGTTTTTATTTTGTCCAGTGGTATTTTTTTTCATCTAACGAAATCACTATTTTGTTTTCTTTTATTTTGTTAAACTAGCTATTTACCATGACTGGTTTTCAAATGTTACAGTAATGCTGCAATTTTGAGATGATATCTGGTCACTGAATAGTATCTTTATATATATACTCATATATATGTATACATGTATATATAATGATTACTTCAATTTCTTAATATTGTTGAGGATTTTACTTCTATATTCATGAGTAATATAGCTCTGTAATTTTTCTTATAACAGTCAGATTCTGTAATCTGACTATGTTGTCTTTTCATAATATAAGGTGAGAAATGTTCCTTTTTTCCATTTTCTGAACAGTTATCAAGATTGCTTTTATAGCTTCTTTAAATGTTAGAGTTCACCAGTAAGTCATTTGAGCCGGAGATTTTAATTATGAATTTCTTTTATAGGTAGCACTGTTCAGTCTTCACATTTCTTCCAATATACATTTGAAAATGTAATGTTAATTCAAGTCTTGAAACTTATTTTATGGCTCAGGAATAGGTCTATTTTGGTGTAAATGCTACGTGCTTTTGAAATTATTTGGTATAGTGTCCTAGAAATGTTAATTAGATAAAATTCATTGATAGCATTGTTCAAATCTTTTACATTCTTACTGATTTTTAATGTTTGTTCTATCAAATATTAAATTGTTTTAAAATGATGATAACATCTAAAACTACTGTGGATTTATCTTTCTTGTTCTTAAGAACAGAAATATCTTTTAAGTTTTTTAGGTTTTTGAGTCATAGTCAGCTGTAGTGGGGGCTTACTTTTAGCTTTTTCTCAAGGAAAATCCCTGGCAACGTTCAGGAGACCATATTCAGTACTGGGGATTGAGACCAGGTAAGCTGCATGCAAGGCAAGTCCTCCACTTGCTGTGCTATCTCTCTGTCTTACACTTTTCTTTAGTTCTATCCCTTATTACTTCATGAATTTTGAAGCTGTTATTAGGTCCATATTAATTTAGTATTATTATGTTCTATGGGAAAGTTTATTATTATAAAGTGCTCATTATCTCTGATAATAGTCTTTGTCCTGAAATATTTGTCTGATTTTAATACAGCAACACTGACTTTTTTATGTTACTGTTTGTATAGTATACCCTTCAATGTCTGACTTGTCTCTATCCTGATATCTTATTTTAAAATTTTTTCTCTTGACAATTTATGAAAAAGAAGCCAAAATCATAGAGGAAAGCTTCTCTTCAATTAAGAAAACTAAAATGTCATTTAAAAATTATAAAATTAGACCATTATCCCAAAAAATGCACAAAATTTAACTCAAAATGAACTAAAGCTTGGGTATTAGACTGGAAACCATAAAATACACTGAAAATAACATTTACAAAAAACACAGCAGGACACTGATTTCAGCAGTCTCACTGGAAACTTGATTTTAGGGGTAAGTAAAATATTAGCAAAAAACAGACAAGTGGGATAACATCAAACTAAAAAGCTTCTGCACTATAAAAAAATAACTCCCCCATCCCACCCCAGTAAATGAGTTTCAGTAACAATTTTGAGGTATGTTATCTCATTGCTTTTCTGAACTGGTGTTTAAGTAACTGCAGAAGCTGCAGAGATAGTATAGGATAAGGCTCTTGCTTTGCACATGGCTGACTTGTATAGGGTCCCCTGAGCACCACCCAAGTTGCTCCTTTATGGCCAAGTACTGTCCAAGTATTGCCCCCACCGAAGTAATTTTCTTTTGGTGATATCTCTTTATTCTATGTCTTCAGCTTAATGTATATATCCTGATTATCACATTGTCCTTTATCAGTACTCTACTGCCTTAAGTGTATCATAATAATACAACAGCTCAGTTCCATTTACCTAGCCCTATATGCTTATGGTCACATATTTCATTTTACAATGTCATATATAAATTTCACTTTATATTTTTGCCAGTTTGCTTAATGGTCAGTTGTCCTTTAAAAAATAAAGGGAATGAAAAGTAAAGGGAGAAATATTTTCTTTTTTAATCCCTGTATTTACCATTTTCAGTGTTTTACATTTCTTTCAGCAGGTACAAATTTTAGTCAGTATTACTACTTTCAACCTCAAGAATTTAACTTAGCTTATGAGGCAGAATAATCTCAACTCTTGCTAATCAAAAATATCTTTTTATTTTACCTTCATCTTCTAGAGGATTATTTTTTCTAGACATATAAATCTATAGTGGCAGCCCCTATCCAATTATATTATAGACTTAACTGTTTCCTTTCTTGTTTCTCATGAAACGTCAACCTTTACTCTTAAAATTGCTCTCCTATTAGGTGTCTTCCACATCCCACCCTCTGTTCTTGCCTCTGAGCCAAGAATTGCCCTTTAACTCTGCCAGTTGTAGCTCCAAAACAAAACAAAAAAGAAATATGACAAATTTAAAAAGGAGTATACAACATGAAATTGTGTTAAGTGAAAAATGCACATATGGGGGTTAGAGATAGTATAGCGGGTAAGACACTTGTCTTACATGTAACTAACCCTGGTTTGATTCCTGACCACTGCAGGTATGGCACAAACCTTTCCCTCACAAAAAAATCCACAATAGTCTTACTCTTGTGAAAAATATTCCATATATCTGTGCATTTAGATAATATAAAATTTATTAGTGATTAATTCTGGGAGGTAAAATATTGCCCTCCTTAAACCTTAACAAGAAAATCTTCAAATTTCTTCAACTAGTAAAGTCCTTGAAGTAGTTAAGTCCTACTGAACCCAGAAACGCAAAATCCATAAACACTCTTACATAAGTAATACAACAACTTAATTTTTAACAATTAACATACATTTCTCCAAGCATTTTTTATTACTAATTATTCAAATAGAGACCACGACAAAGGCCTGCGTGAGAGCTACAAAATTACAAACTTCAGGATTACAAC